TCTAGATTTAAATACTAATTTTCTTTGAAAAGATTTTTGCTCCTCTGTTCTAACTCTGCCGTCACCATTTGTGCGGCAGTTTTTAATGTTTATAAGAAATGACGATTTTTCTAGAGATTTTTGTTTTCCACAGCGTAATGACCTTGAATCGTCCGGCAGCGAGTCATGCATGATCGAAAGTGTCGACGATGAACGTTCGAATTCACTGCCCACGTGCTTTTCGGATGGTGTTGAGCATACAGGTAGTATACGACTGTCACGAAACGTTCCTAAAATAACAAATTCAACAAGGACAAAAGAAAAAATTGAGAGCTTTTTAAAACTAAAACACATAATCTACATCTTGAAACATATAACGTTATAAAAAATTAATTTTTTTCTCTGTGGTGTTGTATGAAAGAACGAAAGTGATCTCTAGCTTCAGAATGCTCGTCTTCTCAACGAACCCCACCATTAGAAGGGTAATTGACATACCAAAGCTCGGAACTAGTGCTTTTTCTTGACAGTCAGACGGTAACGTAGGATTTCGTGATAATATTTGCAACTTTCTTTTCAAAAAACCTTTTCACGACGTGATCGTGCCATAATAAATAATTTTTTCAAAGTCTCATTTAAAATCTGAATTCTTAACTGACATAGTGAAAGAATAAAATATATGGATTTCAATGCTTTTGAATTTTTAGAAATTATAAGCAGATACACTGTTTGAATATGTGAGCTGAAACGAGAATCTCAACTTGATCATCTCTTCATTTCCTTTCTATTCAGATACTATTGATCCTAAGTTAGTATCATCTTTATATAAACCTAAATCCGAGAAAAACGTTTTGGAAAAAAAGCTACGTAGATGGTAGAATTGATTGCTTTGCTATCTGGATTGCCTTTGTAGAGAAACTGCTTATTACAGCCCTAAGCTTTTCGCAAGGTAGAAAGTCTACCTAGGATCCAGCTTCTTCCTTGTTTTTTCGCAACGATTTCGATTAGGGAAGGTATCGTCTTGTAGCATTTCTAGTTCCAGGAATCTAGTTGGTGAGTTGCCAAAAAGTGGTTCTGATTATGTTTGCTTGGTAGATGGGTGATTTGAATTTAATGCTTGACTTCGACTCTTATTTATTTTGTAAAGAGAAATGATGTTTTGTAGTTTAAAAAACGTTAAGCAATTATCTTTCCGTGTAAAAAGAAAGATCTTGTTTATATGCAATAACGAATCTAATGGCGACACTGTTCGCCCAGGCACTCGAAAACACTACCGTTACCGTCACAAGAACTATGAAAAAATCCATAAGTACAAACGACCTTGAAGTGTCGTCTGTTGTCTTTTCGCTTTTTTAACGTACCGTCGTCAATTGGATGAGCATGATACGGTAGCCGCTGTTGGAACTCAGATGTTGTGGTTGGCTCAAATGGCTCCGGCTTGATACGGTAGTTTGGGAAGTCTATGGAACAGCCGAGAAGTCCAGCTAAGCCCTCATTCTCCTGAGTGATTGGTGGTGGTCTAGGGGCCGGCACGGGAGGTACTGTATGTAGATTAAAGTTTTTTGCAGGCTTTACAAAGTTTAGGGAAAATAATATACTACCAAATTCTGAACACCGATTGGAAAAGTGATTTCAA